AATACAGTGATGAGATTTCTTTCAAAGCCATAAGTAAATTTTCCGACCAGGTGAGCCCTGTTTTCGAAAGCCCGTTTATTTTACGAGTTTTCGGAACATTAAAGATAGATGTCAGGGCTGTAAAGACATAAACATCTAAAACAAAGTAGACGCTTGTTACTAACAAAAATTGCAGGTGGACACATGATATTTTTCTGACCCACATACCGTGTTCCAGCAAATTCTTGGCGATAGCCTAACTAAACGATAACACTCCGTACACGAGGATAATGGAGGCAGGAAAACTGCTGCATAAAATTTCAAAACTTAATTTATAAGTTCTACGCAAACCGCGATTCAAGATAATTAGCTTACATGTTTCTGTATACAACCAAAAGTAATCAACAAAGTAACTATGAGATTTATTATTAATTTTGTAGCAGCACAGAACGTAATGGTTTCTAATATGAAATATTTTCCCTACTTTCAACAGACAGACTAAGTCAGATTTCAGGTTCTCACGGTGATTAATATGAAGATGACAGCCTTCTGTGATACTGCGAAATGTAATATCGTAAATGATGACCGACGTTTCAAATACCCGCAGTCTCTTTTAATAGGACGACGATGATAGAGCTGCTGATGGCAAAAGTAGTACTAAAACCTCTCAAACGTCGGTAAATTTACGAGATTACATCATCAGATATCATCTTCAGCTAGGCAGATTAATAACATTCTCGTGTACGAGCTTGCGGTTAGCGGATAACTTGCGATTAAATAACCGTAGACAGTTTACTGCTGCTTCAAGAAATTAACGAGTTCACAAAATCAGATGCCAATGCAGCTGTCACATAATGAGCTTCGTTCCTGTGTTTCAGAGCACGAAACATTCCATCTGTATCTAGAAATACAATAATTGGTTAAGAATAAATATTGAATTTATATTAGACACATTTATTCTAAGAAACGTTCTTTGTTACAGATTGCAAAATCGAATTTGAGTGTGTTCAATATGTTCTGGCATTATGAAATCGTTTTACCCCGAGTTTCAACTATAAGGACAGTCTCATGTCTGCGAGAAATTTCAACTCTACGGTTCTTATAACTGATAGTCAACATGTAAGATTTCTCTTAACGGCACGGAAATCTGTGATTGACACTCTGCGGCTGTGTAAAGAGATGAACCATTTCAGGTAAGAGTTCATTTTGATTCAAGCTGGGAGCAAGAGTGTCTTATGCGCACTGCATTCCAAGCAAAAATCTAGAAAATAATTTACTTTGGTGATGCATTATTCAGTTATTTAACGACGCTGATGGAGGGGTACAAACAGGGTAATGATCACTCGAATTCCATAAAAGCAGGGGATTTTTTGACAAACTGAACAACTATCAGCTTTTCAAAGGATCTGTTCCATGAAGTTTGAATTGCAGAATTTGTGTGTTTGCTGCTTGGTAAGAGGAACTGAAACCAATACAAATTTTGTTCAATTTAAACTCTTATTACCGACAACAACAGCTACAGGGTTGAATTGAGATGAAACGAGTTATGAATGGTCAGTAGGTAAACATCTGGAAGGAAAAGGCGGAGGCCTATTTTAGTGTACTATTCCGAAATTCGCCAAGAAAGTCCAAAAAAAACAACTGAGGAATACCAAAGTCAGCAAATAATTTACACTGCAGAAATTAGCAGGAAGAATAGTTAATTACTTAAAATTCAAGGATTCAAGAACTAGTGTTCGTCACAATGGACCAGTGATTTTGACGGACCCGACTAAGTAGATACTCGCCACTTTTCTACTCAGGATGGAAACAGATCTAGTTCAAGAGACGCTAACTTTTTTCAGGAAACCGGACAGTGTCAATTTCAGAAAGAATTTAACAGAAATTGAAATATACCGTCGTAATAATCCATTAGATTTCACAAATAAAAATCCTACGTAAAATGTTACATGCGAAGATAAAAAACAGCAACAATCTCTATCATACTAGACAATAATTCAGTTTCATACTAAATTGTTATTCGTTTATATCGAAGATAAAAATACAATGGCCACCGGTCTCCATTAACTCAAATCCATTTCTAAAGCCCTGATCGTGTAATCTCTTTATTTATTACGGAAAATGAGGCCAATGATGTCACGACCGGTGTCCACAGGCCTATGTGTATTAATCTTCAGCCCTTAATCAATCGACGGATTTTCGTGATACGTTTTATAAACATAACGATACTAGAGAAAGCTTTTATATTTTCATATTTCTTTGTTATTTTGTGAAGCAACAGTTTTTCCTTCAAGACATTTGCAAATTTTGTTCAATTTTGGTAACATAAAAACATGGCGGCTGAGAGAAAAACTAACTTAATTTTCTGCATTTATATGTGGGTAGATATAACACGTCAAGGATTGTAAACAGGCGTTAACTTCCAAATTCGAGTTTAATCAATTTAGTGAATAACCATAACATGAAAAGTTACTGGAAGCTGCAGAAATGAAAGACTTACTTCAATTAGTGCAAGAAAACAGTTAGCGCAAGTTATAGGAACATACCAGAAAATTAATTACGGAATTTCACATCATGAAACACGTTCCAACATATTCCTGCAAGATGGTACGTCATTAAATTTTGGTAAAGTTATGCTGCAGTCTCTGAATGCCCTCTTTCAGAATAAGTGGTCGTTGGAGGAGGACCGGCATCTTGATATCCCCGTCTAACCGATCTCATTCCATTAGATTTGGGTGGAACGAGGGCTATGTGAAGGAAAACACAGGTCTACTCATAAGAATGACGAAGGACGATGTCGAAAGCTACAGCTGCTCTTACCCAAGAGCGTATATGGAAACTGATGAATCACTGTTGTTCACACACCACAATTCGGTTTATTGTTCTATGTTATTGTTGGTGTAGCCAATACATATTTGAAATACATGGCATTCTTGTATGGATATCTTGTGTATGAATTATCCCTTTATACAGATACGCCCTATTCACATAATGAACAACATTTAGATACGATTATGTTCAATGTTGCCTCAAATAGATGAAACCACGTTAATAAATGAACCCAAATTAAACAGTCACATCAATATCAAATTCATGCAAATTAACACACGAATTGGACATAAACTAATGATCATTGTAACGGAATGGAACTTTACTAGTGAAGTTCTGATTCATTTTATCTCTCTGTTTTGTTCATACGACGTATTATAATCCAAATGAAAAATCAAGTGGAGTAGAAACAGTGTAGCAGCCGCAGGACTTGCCATGAGACATACATTTTACTCTGTACCAAGGCCGGAAATAGGAAAATGTAAGAAAACAGTAACTATAAATAAGACAACATATGAAACGAAATTAAATTTAGATACGATTTCATGAATTCCTCATTTTTGTAACGTCGCTAAAAACTACTCGATATATTCTGAGTTAAAAATGGCCTTTGAATAAATTCCGCATCTCTATATCAATGAATTAGACCAATAAGGAGCCAGTTTTGCCTTCAAATTATTACTTATCTATTTATTAGCATCACTGGTCCGTAATGGAACTTTATCATCATCATTGTACCGAATAACTAGATTCGTTGCGCATTATTTTAGTACAAAAAACCAATGATATTATTTTCGGTGTGACGGGCATCCACCGTTACACAGAGCGTAACTTAAAAGGACTGACACAAATGTAAGAGTGAGTTACACGCACTAAAGTAATAAAAAGTTCGCATATACATCGGTCCGAAAAAGCTCCCTTTCCTGGTTATAGCCATTTTTCTCCTTCTGTACTTCCAAACTCGTAGCCATACGTTAACTGCTCCCCTTCCACACTAGAAGCGAAGATTTCATAGCAAATACCCAACATTTCCTCTAATGTTAGACTCTTATAAAATATTTGTAATGTTATATCATGCGGCTTTAAAAAGAAATTGTTAATTGAAGTTTCTAAGATTTCTTTAGAAAATAAGCCGTTGTTATTTCGAAATACGGGAGAATTAGCTAGTAAATACATGTAAAATAATTAATTGCAAACAACTCATTATTGCCTCCGTTAATAAAAATATACTTCGCGCGTAGAATTCATGAACACACTAATCTTCATTTCCTGTCATTTTATTGATAGCTTAATTGAAACAGATTACACTCTTGCACTACCAGAATTTCCAACGCTGCATGCCACACCACTTATCTCCATATCAATCGCTCCTATCCGAATTCGTATTCACGTCAATGAGTACGATGTATCATGTCAACTCTAGAATGCATATTCCACGCTCACTCTGCGTCACGAACGCATATTTTTTGTGCAGGCCTACTGAATTTCATGCTAACATTGACATAATGAAACTGTCATTTCTCCCCGAAAATGTTCCTTCCTAATTCAACATATGTTGAATTGAATGAAAGAACAATTGTACTTTGATAATGCAAGTTGTACAGGCTTAAAATCTAGACGATTGGTATGTCGAAAACGAATGAAGGCGGGCGAAATGAGAATAATGAACGAAGCTGGAAACAAGCTTAAATAAAGTGTAACAATGACATTAACAGACTAATAATACGCAGAAACGAGTAAACATTAAATGATATAAAAATATATATTAATTAACCTATACATCAGGTGGAACTAAAATATAAACACAAGCAGGTTATAATTTGGTATGTGTTACATATTCCGTTTTTCCTTTTCCTACAAAAAACAAACAAAAACTGACTTTAATTTGAAATGTTATTTTTATTTATTTATCTATTGGAAACCAATTTCATTTATACGCTACATAACAACTGTGGTCAAATAAAACATGACGAATAATCATACGACGGTGAGTAGATTGATTTGTGTGTTATTAAATAACACAAATACCGAGGTTATTTATCGCCAAAATGAGCCACAGTAAAACATTTACATAAAGATCCCTTCTTTTGAAATAGGATTATACATTACCAGCAACGAAGTGTTGTGCTAAATCCATTGGTCATATTAAACGGGCTTTCGTCCGAATTTCCGAATAAATGAATCAAACTCACCATGGTAGCGGGGCTGATTGAACCAAAACTCCGGATGTATAGCTCACAGTAGACCGTGGTAGCATTATCTGCAAACAGAAGAATATTATGTAAGATTTGAGGTTTTCACAGCGGTGAGTATGAAGATTTCTGTCTTCTGGGTTGTTGTGCTGTGTAGTCTGATAGGCGTTTACAAATGTTTCGGAGGTCATACTGCCTCCGTCATCAAGGCGATGACGGAGGCAGTATGACCTCTGAAACGTTGGTTAACATCGACCAGACTACACAGCGCAACAACCCAGAAGACAGAAATCTTCAGAAGAATATTAATAATGTGCACTGCTCACTACTGAGCAAAAAGACTGCATATGCAACTAAAACCCGCTCTGATGTGTGTCATGGTTTTATTAAATGGTTTGGATCAAAGGGAGGGAGGGTGAAACGGCTGTTTGTATAGAGCAAGCCTATCTCCTGGAGATTTCACCATTCTCAGCCACTCTACTGTGTCGTGATTTGATTACAGTTGTTACTACCATTCCTGTCATAATTAAAACTTACTGTGGCGAAACGTTTAACTGCGTACAGACTTTGTAATTTGATATAAGTATATTTATGGTAAGGAGTTATAGAATTATACAGCCAGGCACAAACTGGAAGCTTAACCCTCTGAAACTGAAATATTAAAATTGGGGAAGAGGAATGACGAAAGGACGGAGAAACGAAAGGAATGGGAATAAGAGGAGAGAGAATTGCACGTGTTCGAAATGGACAATTGAAAGAAAATGGCAGCCAGAAATGAAAATACAAAAGAAATCGTTCACCGTTGTATTGTAACGGGCTACTTACACCAATTCTGTACACACGACACAAAGCGACAAAATTCCAAATATTATTTACATCGGTATTAGACACAAATCAGTTTCACATTCCTGTCATCTCTATCTCGGAGGGTGAAACTCTGGTCAATATTGTATCGGGGGCTGAGTGGAGCAGTTCAGGTTGAAGTGTCGTAGAGAAAGAACCCGACGTGAATTTCGGTCTATCGCCCTCGTGCTTACTGGCGGCACTAACACACGGCGATCAAGATGGTGTTTGGAGAACAGGGAGGGTATTTGACGTCGGAAAAGGAAATTTCGACGAATCCTGGATCAGTCAAGTTTTGTTTACCACAAATAATAATAACACAGACAGGGAGGTTATCAAATCACGTTCTGCGACATGAGGTTGGATTAAGAAGAGAATGAGCGAGGAAATATGAAGCACTGCAAACAGAAAAAAAGAGTTTTATTTTGATGAAAACTACGCCATGAGGTCAAGATTTATTTTCATGGTTGTATTCTGTGATGATGTCAGCGGTGAGTGCGTGAAGGAGCTCAGACGACGAGATGGCATGAAATGACGTGAGTACATTATTTTTGCATTTGTTACAGACTGAAACATGCACTGGATGGATTTTAAACCGATTAATGACTGCAAGGAACGCGGATTCATGTGAATCCCACACGAAGAAGTACGAAGGTAATACAATAGCAACCGCGTAACACAACTGGTGTGTTCACAACCTTTCAATTTGACAGCCAGATTGAAGAAATTGGAGCTTCCTTTACTGTTTCAAAAAATACACATTGCAGATTTCTTGTTTACTATTTAAGTCTCTTCTTCAACATTCTGTACCTTATTCCACATAACTGAGAAATGTAAGACTCAAGACACCAACACATGATGGCGGATAAAAGCGTGTGTTCAAGTTTGAAAAATTCCATGCATTTTTTTGTCTGAACTTTTCTAAATACTGAGACCAAGATTTCTGTTTACGATGCCACATTTAATGAATAACAAGCAAAGTATCATGAATTCCTAATGTGAACCTAAAAGACTAATCAAATGAGCAATCTTAATAAAGACATAAAACTTAACACGAATGTAAGTAACTGACCCACGGCCAGTAGTGGAACACCCTCCAGAAAATTTTCCAGAAAAATTGACATTACATTTTAAATTCTTAATCTTCATTCAGGAAAGCAAATATCAGACCTAATTCAAAAACACCCAATTCCAACAGTGCAATTGTCTGCGAAATGAAAAGGGACATCCGAAGATGAGCTAATCAGCCTGATATATGTAGTGCTACAAATAGGCACGAAAAATATTTGCGTGTTGTTTAAAGAAGGAACTAATATCATCTAAACTCTAATTCACAACATTAGGCTCTTGTACAATCTTACGTTAATTTATAGGTTTAGATATGTCCCAATAACAGTCGTTTACTCTATTAAATACGAAGTAATCGTGAAAAACCAACATTTCGCTAAAGTAAACATACCATTAAATATAATTATACCGTGTACTAGTTTAAATTTGCTTACCTGCAGGAACTGAAAAGCGAAACCCACGGTCTCTTGTCACTAGGTTATCAGTTAGTTAAATATTGTTCTTCTCGTCTGGTAGGTTCGTTTATGTAGTTACGCCAACCAATTTGAATGGGTTTGCATTGTTTAAGATTTATACTTATATAATGAAATTGAGTTATATTTAATTTCAGCCAAAAATATATTATAATCTATCCCATTAAGAATAATATAACAGAGGCTGTTCAACAGCCACTAGCTTCTGATTATATTCATGCTGTTTGTATTAAATTAAAAAAAAACTAGCACACAGTGGAAATGTACTGAATGCCAGGCAGTTCGCTGGCCTGTCTATTTCATTGACATAATTGCCCGGTGGATTTCTATTCAACCTGATACCATAGCCTGCTCTAAATACATGTCAATTTGTGACGATAATTTTCACTTCTCTTTCATTTTACGAGGAAGTTTGATATCGAATAATGTATACTCTTCACCGTACACATATAAGAAACAATTAATTAAAAAACCAATGGAATGCTAGAGAATATCATAAATCTATAACAGTGATAAAAAAAGAAGACTGATTTCGAAGTGAAAAATGTTTAATTATGTGGAAACTCAAAAAAAAAGAGACGTGATGATATTCTAATCAGATTTCGAATTCCATCAGCATTTAATGAGCGCAGAGAGAATTAAATGCGGTACCCAGAGCAAAAATATTTGAAGAATACGAAATTAATTGAATCATAAATCAGGGTAGCAGGTGATTAGCGTGTTATTAAATTCAACGTGACTGGGCACATTTCATAGATTAATTGATTGTGAAGCGTGGGTAACTACCATGCAGTGTGGGACAGAAAACATCAAAAACCTATAGATAGTTTTAGTCGCCAAACTTCAAGGAATGGAACCACTTGAAAGATAAAATACCTTTATTATGCCAATTGAAACGTGGAATTTTCACTCAAATAAATTTGGTGAATCTAAAGTGAAAGGTATTCAAGTGGATAAAAAAACTGTTTATTTGTAAGCTTTTATCATATTACTTATTGTTGCGAGTACACCAAGTACTACCAACGTAGTTCTACTTAACACGTGTACGTATCACAGGAGAGAGCACAATTTCAACATCAGTCGAAGCACGCATCACATCAGAAGACTGTGACAATAAATGATGATCAACAATCAGTCGGTTCATCAAGAGAGCAATTAATTTAACCAGGCGCCAGATAATGACTAGGTCATGACAGTGAAATAGATCAGCATATAATCCGGACAGTTGGTACCACTACGGTCTGATGGCTCCACATTACAGCGGAACGAACCGCGCTGGTACCCTTCTCAAAATGGATGTCATACGGTCGGTGCGTAATTTATGGTAATTTCAGAAATGATATTTACATGAACGTGGATCCTGAATCTCTAAACACTGTTCAGCCGTACGTTCTAGATATGTAATTATATTTATCAACTGTACAATTTATTGTCAAATACAATTTAAAGGCGGATTGGAATTACCTAGCAAAACTTGAACATTAGATAACTTAACGTGGCGTAATTTCGTAGTAAAAATTAGATTGTCATTGTGCTTTAACCATTCTAAGCGGAAGCTTATATAAATGTCATCTTATAATTAAATTCATGCTTCAAAAAAAACCATTTCTCCATTACAAAGATCGGGTTGCTAGTTTTGTTTATGGAAATGATCACCAATCACTCTGGGAACCATTATGAAACCCATGAATACATTCTTGTGAGAAAAATGCAGAGCTTTTGATTATTAAAGAGTGTGGTACATACAGCAACCACTGGACTCTTAAGGGTTATTATTGAAATGCAGCAAGTTCTTCGTCGACCGCTGCCGATCCACAGACTATTATTAGCGTTATATTAAATGCAGGCATATAAGTATATTATAACTGGAAAAATTGCCGCTTGCAACTTAATTACCGTGTTAACAATAGCAAGCCGGGGATCCTATCCTGAGCTACATGATTTCCGTCCACCCTCACACGCATTATATCTTTAAAATAAATTTTAACATTAAATTATCCTACTATATACGTCTACAACACCCAAAGTCTTTTCACTTGAGATTTTTCGACTAAAATGTTACATTCATTTTCAATCCCTCTCATACGTACTACATCCTCTGGTCACACCACCTTTCTTGCCAAATCTCATAATGGGAATTTCTGACAATCGTAGTGACTGTTACGTTTCTAAAGGACACTGCTCACTAAAGCTAGATATTTTGTTTCATTGTCGCTGGTTTCTGGGGATCTCAGCCTAGCCGAATCCTATTTCACAGTTTTCATTACTGTAATGTCAACACATGTCACAAGCTCTTCAGTACTGTCGCATTCTCATTTACAAATGTTATTTGGCGAATGAAAAAACTGCTATCAATACATTTTGTCTGACTTCACAGATATACGAGGCTCGTCCTTAAAGTAAGTTTCCCTGGGGCCGTTTACAGAAACAAAACACAATTTCATGGAAATATTTATTGCAACAGATACAGCAAGTGTCCAGCTATTTTTCAACATATTCGCCACCGGAATTGAGACATTTGTCATACCGTGGGACCAACTTTTGAATACCTGGG